CGGCAAGAGTTTGATCTATCAATTGGCTCCTCTTCGTCGTCGCTCTGTTACGTCATATGCTTCGTTGATCTGATTGGTTTATTTGGCCCGTCTATCACCAACATAGGCCAATCAGCTAACCAGTATTTTCGCCCTTTCCCAAATTTACTTCTACGGAAGGTTCCCAGATGGATATGCGAAGCAAATCCAGCAAATCCATCTGGCGGAGTCAGGTTAAAGCAAAAGTCCATTAATCTTTATAACGGCAGTGTTAGTTTAGCAGCTACATTACGCCCTGTAGATATTAAAAGTATCATAAAGAGTTTAAAGAATGTAACACTGAATGAGATTAACTTAATAAAAGATTAAAGATTTTTTTTTATTGAGGACACTTTAACCATGTTTTTTTAAAAGAGAAACTTGGTACTGTTAACAGGACAAGGGGAATTAGTGAAGTGGTGCATACTCTCTGTGCCTTAGAGAAGTTTTCATATCCCTTCAACTTTTCCTCCTTTGGTCACGTTGCAACCACAGACCTCAATGTCTTTCATTAGGATGTTTAGTGATAGAGCTGTGATGTTTCATTAAGAAAAAAAATGGAAATGTGGTGTACCAACTGCTTAGAAGTAACCCAATTAGTTAATAAGATCAACCTGGGAGTGATTTTATCTCAATATGATTGCACTTCTTCTATTAGGTGCTTAGGTTGTACGATTATTTGCTCCACATGCAGAGATTAATCAGAAACACAACAGGGAAATTCTAAATTAGCTTTACTTACCTATATTATGGAAGGGATTCATCATAAGAGTTTTTTATTTAATCTCCATTGAGGAGCAACATCTAGGAAGAGATGAGGTTGGTTAAAATGTTCTTACTTAATTTGCTACAGGGAGCCAAAGGAATGATCGTCTTGTCCACAGATACAGAGACAGGAATCAATGGTTTTAGTCTATTGTGTGTTTTATAGGCAAGATTTTAATGTGTTTATTTAGTTTTTCAGCAATGGTCAAATTAATTGAATGTGAAGCAAAAGATGAATAAATCTGTGATACAATGCTGTACAGTAAATTGTATCCACTTTTATTACAAATATACAAAGCAGCAATTAATTAATTTCCACTTGCAGGTTTCATATCTGGGTTAAATCGAACCAGTGTGGGAGATGCTGGACATGAGTGCGTGAATATTTTTGAAATGCAAATCGAAGGACTCATTGCCTTTAACTACCAATAACCATTACTGATTTAATTACGTTGTAGGTAAATCATTTCTATATTCCTTGGCGAAAGCATTTATGCAGTGGATTAAGGCTCTCTGTTGTTTTCCTATCATACTCTGGATCCCACCTGCTGTGGTTATGGAAGCAGCGGGGAACCAAATGCACCAACAGAAAGAAGCTCCGCCTCTCAGCAAGTGCCAGGAGAGAGCTTTTACAGAGATGCTCATAAATGAGCTAAACCCAGACAGAGTTGATATATCATTCAGTTGTTTGTGTTGTTTTTGTTTTTTTAAGTTTTGATTTTAATTAACTGATTTAAGGGACTTAACTTCTTTTTGCATCAAATCCATAGTTATCTGATTGCTTCTAGCTCGGGATGTAAAGAAATAATTGATTTATTAGATCCATGCAATTAATTAATATTGGATTGAAAAGAATATTTTCCAGGGTTATAATTATTGTTGGGCCGATACCGATACCAGTATCGGACGGGGGCCCAGATACTGCCCTAAAACGGTGGTATCGGTATCGGCGAGTACCAACAAATAGGGCACCGATACTATTTTTAGAGCCATAAGTTTATTCAACCATTGTCACCCACTCCTGGTAGGCAATAACAAGTTCTACTGGATTCACTTTGTATTAGATTTTTTCCTGCTTCACAAAGGTAGGCAGCAACTTGACAAAGCCATGATGGCAATTATTTTACATTATTATGGTATCGGTATCGGCCGATACTGCACAGCCAGGTATCGGGTATCGGGACCAAAAAATGGCATCGGCGCAACACTAGTTATAATGTTACCAACATCCACTAGTGGGCAGCACTGTTCATTCTTAAGTTGAGACTCACTCATTCTTAAGATAATTAATCCCAGACCTAACGGAGGAATGCTAAAGCCGAAACCAAACCAATCAAAAGTCTGGTATAGATCTATTTACAGTTTAATGGCCACGAGGATGCTGATTGAGCTTTATGTGGTTCTGTGTGTAAATATAAACTCTTGATAAACTCCTTATGTTATCACCTGCCTGTGTGTTGGATTACTCTACAAATACAGATCTATATCACAGTTAGAGTCTTCTCTTTACATATGACATCATAATTGTTTTAAATATTTTTTTCATATCATATTTTATTTTCAATGCTGTAATAGGTTCCTTTTTTCAAATATTTTCAAACCTTTTTTTAAAAAGACAAAAAGAGGTTTAGTTGTCATGATCTCGGCACTGGTGACTAGATTGATGGTTCACTCTATTCACCTGCCTTAGCTCCACCCAGGTTCTCATTACCACTCATCATATCCGACTGTTTTAGCTTCTATTTAACCCTCTGATGCATGAATTATGAAAGCCTTGATCAAGATTTTTTCCTCAAGGTTTTTTCTTATTCTTAGGACATGAAAAAAAATGTTTAACTTTTTTTTTTCCAAAAATATTGTTGTTTAATGAAGTTACAGATATGTCCACTGGAGTGGACTATGCGCACATGAGAACTCAATATAAAATATTATGAATTTCTAAAAAAAAAATAATGATCTAGTATTCTGTTGTAAAAAATGCAGACCATTGATTCATTTTATGCTTTGAAAAATATTTCAACATGTTTTGTTTAATTTTTTACATTATAAAGGCACAATGTTAAGAACCGAATAAGGAAACCAATGACACTCATAGCTTACTGAAGTGACTGAAATTCCTCAGGATCTGCTGCTGCCTTGAATGTCTCCTAAAGTGTACTTAGGAAGGGTCTTACAATGGGGAGCCTATATGTGTTTGCTGGGCGGTAAGGTTTCACTATAGAAACCATAGAATTAAAGAGATATTTACTTTGTAGTAGCTGTCCACTACAGTGACCACTATGCACCAGAGGGTTAAACTGTTTCAGCCATCAGTGCCAGATTATTCAAGCTGTAAGTGAGAGTTCTCTAGCTTACCCAGTTTGTTGTTCTGAAGACCAGATCCTGCCTGGTTTCTGCACTTGGAGCTCTAAGCCTGCCTGCCCCTCTTCTGATCTGTTTGCCTGACCTGTCTTTAGACTCCAGCTGGATTCTACCTGCTGTCAACCTTGGATCTGTCTGCTGACCCTGGCTTGGATTTCCTTACGGTACCTCTTCGGATCTCCGATCTTCTCGCCTGGACTTCTGTTTGCCTCATCAACACCGGCTTTGGCTTCTCCTTCTGAAAACTCCTGCTCTCTTTCGTCTCCTGGCTTCTGCTCGTAAGCAAGCTCAGCATCATTTTTGGCTTCTGGAACTCTCTTGGCGGTGTCTGCCGGTTGATGTGGAAAATCATCCGGTTGGATTCCACTCCTTCCCCTGGGCTTGGACTGAACTTTATAACCAGAGACTCCAGTAGAGTGTAACAACACTTTTCTGTTGTTTCAGTCAACATTTAAAATGGTTAGCAAAATAAAAAGTTGAAATATGGTGTACAATTTTTGTCTTAACTCAGCATATTCTAAGAAATATTCTTCAAAACTTAATGCAATAGAAAGATCCTCTTGATACAAGAGAAAACTCATTTTTTTTGTTTTTGTTTCGTGTTTAGCCAATGTATTCTGGGTTACCCCAACAACAGAGTATTGACTGTTGCTATAAGGTTTCACTTGGTATTTGTATATTTAAATTAATTGAAAATTATTTGGAGAGTGAAATCGTATACAACAGATTTGAAAAACATTTTTCAGAAAATTCCAGCTCATCAATTAATTGTTAGTTAATCAGTAAATAAATCCAGTTAAGATTAATTAATTAAAGGTATAGAGGATGATCTTTTATTTCCATCTCAATAAGTGGTCCTCCTAACTGTCAATCATTCTGGTGATATGTTTACGTAAGGCCATCCTACGTGCTCGCACTGTTAGCTATCTTTTTCTCTTTGCGAGAGAAACCATAGGTTGTCGCTAGCTGACAGCAGCGACTAAGAACAAAGATGGCGCAGGCACCATGAAGTGGAGGAGGAGTGACATGACCAATGGAGCAAAAAGCAGTAATCATCTGTTAGTACGGTCAGTTAACAGAGTATGCTATAAAGTCCACTACATAGTCCCTCGCTGTATATGGACACAGTAAGCTTGTATGACCTATGAATAGCACATTTTAAACACGGCGTGCACGAGGAGAAATAGGCTTGTGCATGCTCTTCTACGCGCAAGCGGAGAGGGCGGGTCTCTTAAAAAATCCTCCACAATACGTTTAATTGATAACTTGCTTCAATAATTCTAGCCTTTTTCTACTAACCCTGTTAGTTCCGCCCTGGCTTACTTATGTCATATTTATGGCTGGTCAGGTTGGTTTTCTTCACCCCTTGGACTGCAAGTCAATGCATTGGTTTTTTAACTAGCTGGATAAGATGAGGACGTTTACATGACAAAGTCTTTGCTTTCACAGAGTCGGAAATCCGAATCAGAGAAGCAGCCAAGAGGTTTCATGGAGCCATCTGAAGGAGCTGATAATAATAAATTGTTACCAGGAAAAGAAAAAAAAAATTGCAGTCAAATCAGGATCAATAAAACAAATGGCCCAACAAACTCAGTATTTCTTTATTATCATACAGCCCGCTAGTACAACGACTCATTGCATAAAACCTCCTTCAACAAAAAAAGATGATGACTTCCCCAAAAAAGAGGAAAAAAAAATTACAAATAATTCTATGATTGAACGTAACCACATTTCTTTATCAAAAACTTGAGGAAATCTTTCAATGTGACGTCGAACCCGAGGGGAATTTTTTATGTCGCTGATAGACCCGCTTCACCATCACAGGAAGTGGAGCCGGTATGGGAAATAAAAAACATGAAGGGTTTAAAAAAGATGAGGTGGCTCATCAAATGTTGGGTTGAACAGTTTTTTTTCAGAGTGCTATTTGTGGCCTGCCTCTTTGCACGGTACACACAGACTGACAGACCGGCATGGAGACGCTGCTTTTTCTATTTCCTCAATTTAACTACATGGCCCCAAAGGAGGAAGCATATTTCAAAATGTTTGCTGTAGAAGACTTGCAGTCATCAGCGATGAGGGACAATAGCAGCAGGTTGGTCTCTAAACTTTGCTCCTTTTTCAAACATCTATGAAGGATTTAGAGTCAAGTTATTTAAGATATTCATTGATATGTGAGTAGAAAAACGGTTTATATGAGGAAACAGATGCAGCCAAACTGCTCTGCTACTTCTACGGCTTTAGGACTTTCCTCGTGAGTACCTCAGGTTTTTGTTAAGACTTATTAGCTTGCTTGACTCATCTTACTTTTCTAAAATGCATTGGGTAATTTTTTATGTGTCATGTCAACCACAAAATCTCACAGAGAAGAAAAGTGAGTTAAAAAAAAACAAAAAAAATGCTGATTTTGCTAAATAGTGCCACAAGTGCAACACAGGATGTTTGGAGTTTGATATATTTTCTCTCTTGTTTTGCAGACAGAAAGACAAGGAGAGGAAGAGCAGACTAAGCCTTTTCCTCACCAAGTCAGGCTCCCATGAAAACGTCAGTCCTCATAAAAAGACAGAGACGACAACGAGCAAGTGAGGCGCAATCTTTTATTTTCATGTACAGCCGCTATTATTCCAGACAACCGTGATTCATTTTTAACCTCCCAGTTTCCAGCAGCCCTCCTCAACTCATTAGTCGCATGCAGAAAACCTGGCGAGGAGACAGCTCTCTGAGAATCCCACAACTTTTGTTTGCCGCATCATTAGGGAGGATCTGACCGTTTGTCTGATTCTTTTCTCTTTTTATCTGCAGCATCTCACCAGAGGCAGCCTTGCAGTGGAGCGACTCCTTTGAAGAGCTGCTAAAGCACACAGGTCAGACTTGGCGACCAAAAACTTTTCACGACAACACTGGTTTTAAATTGCTGTCCGCAGCAATCAGTTGAGCTGTCAGAGAATTTGCTTTATTTGGGCAAAAAAGTGGAACGGTGAGCTCAAAGAAATAAATAGGCAATGGAGATGTCAGCAAGAGTTTCACTACATCTTTTAGTGTTTGTCGGAGCAGACAGCAAAACAGAAACTGTGCAACTTCCTCCTATTCACAGAAGTTATACTTTAGAGCCACACTGTTTGCTCTATGGTAACATGTTTTAAATAGGATAACTTGGATCTGTTTGTGTTCCAGCTACACAGAGGTATTCATGTTATAGTGTTCCATAATATTTGCCATCATTGCTGTTTTGAATTATATACATTATTGAAATTCAAATTATTTTCCATCTAAAGCCTAAACTGAAGCTGGCAGCTTTAGTTGCACCTATATTATAGAACAGATTTCCTGTTCTTGTTTTTATTGAGGTTAATATTTTACACAAAATTAAAATTAAAAATGTGTTCTTCACATTTTCCACACATTTTCTATAGAATTTATCTGGTTTATTATTCAACAGAAAGAAATCGGGGAATACCTACAGTACTAACCAGTCTTAAAGTAATTATTACCTTTATTATCTCTGTATTTCTGCTTTTCACTATTCTTTATCGGATGGTTTAGTTAAAATACAAAGCCCTTATTTATAAGCCATGATTAGAAGGTTGCTGAGCATACCTTTACTCTTTAGACTTCATGATTTTTATTTCAAATTAGAGTTCAATGACTGTTTTTTTACCTGAAAAGAGAGAAAACCATGTGGTGCTATTTAATAACTCACAGAACCACCTGTGTTTTCACAGGTATTTAGTTCGATGCACCACAGATATATCAGGGCACAGAAGATAGCATTGTGTGTGTGCTTGTCAACTTTTTGGGCTGGAGATGGGAACTCTGGAGGTTAAACACTGGGTCTAAAACCAGCTAATGCAAAATTATTCATGGCAGAAACAAACTGAGCCAGAGCTTTTCTTAGATATAGGTTGCATAGCATGGTGAACAATCACCACAGTTCTACTTCCACCATTGGGGATCATATCTCATGACTAGCTCTGGCCTCACTCTACGTTAGACAAGCTTTTGATCTTGTTACCAGGACCTGAACTTTAATTTACTTGAATTTGTTTTCTTTAATGGTTTTGGTATGCATTTTTCTAGAAATACTTTCATAAGATAGTTATACCAGTTACAGGATCTCTATGTCATACTTGACCCTTTAATACAAAGTGTATCATATTTGATATATGAGCTTTTCAGACCTTTATGTCAAAAACCTGACTTGTACAATCAGACAGATACAGTCAACAGAAAACGTATAATGAATTGCCCCAAAGCTCTAGTTTAAAAATAGTTAGAATTTTCTGACATACTTCATTGCAGGGTTAAATTCAACACTAATGAAATTATCCACACAATATTTTACTTTTTTTTTTTAAAGGCACATACTTGTAACCTGACTCTGCCAGATGGATTTGCTCCACATATCCATCTGGAAACCTTCCGTTGAAGTAACTTTGGGAAGGGGCGAAAATACTGGTTAGCTGATTGGCCTATGTTGGTGATAGACGGGCCAAATAAACCAATCAGATCAACGAAGCATATGACGTGCTAACAGAGCGACGACGAAGAGGAGCCAATTGATAGATCAAACTCTTGCCGAAAGCAGTCGGGAGAAGAGCAAAAACATCTTTTCCTCTGAGAAAAGCCTCCAGAGCAGTGTTTTGCTCTTCTTTCAGTGAAGAAATACTCTGGAATTCCGATAAAACTTGCTCGATAGCTATGCTAACGCTAGTTTCATCGGCTGAAGCCGCCATGTTCTTTAGACTGAACTGTCGCGCTTCTCGTTGCGTCACACCTCAACCCGCCTCAAAGCCAATGCTGATTGGACGTTCGTTTGGTTAACGGCTCCAAATTTTCTTTAACGGAGAGTCTCCAGACTGATTAGCGAGTGAAACCTTGAAAGCTCGCGAGATCAGGATGGTCTCACGAGGCTAACATACTTGAGTCATTTCAGTTTTTGTTTTTTTTAATAAATACATCAATAACTCACTCTGGTTCGAGAGAACATTGCTCAATTTCTCTGTGAATATAGTCTTTCTGAGTATGCTTACCATAACAACATCATGTGACTGGGATTATTTTTAGGCGAGCGAGTGTGGAACTCCTAACGTAGTTGTGAAAAGCAAAGAAAATCCAAGATCAGGTCTAAAAAAGCACAAGAGGATGTTTCATCTCGAGAGGAATAAAATTTGATTTGCGCTGGGAAAACATGACTGTTGGAGTTCACTAAAGCTGGAGCTATAACTCAGAAAGCATTCTGATATCAGAATGAGTCACATTAGCATTCGTCCCTGCTAATGTGCTACTAGTGTTAGCCATGTTTTTAAGCTCTGTCTTTCCAGCTGTATGTTTTCCACGAGGCATTGCAGCATGTTTGGGACTTATTTAGTAACTGCTTCAAAGGCCACCATCTGGCATTCTGGTGGTTCAACTGTACTGCCAGCAGATGGCGCCACGTCGGCTCAATTTGCCTGTTGCTGGGGTTCTATTTAGGCTAAAAAAGGGCAAATAATTGGAATATGTAATTTGGTTTATTATAATCAACTGGATTCTGGTCTTTCTGACATAGGCTTCTAATGTGACTATGTACCTTTAGTACATACTAAGTGTTTAATTTCCTTTTGTATTTTTCTTTTTTAATGTTATTAACAGTTTTTTCTGTAATTCTTTTTCTATCCTCTTTCAGATGGGGTGGAAACCTTCTCCCAGTTCCTCAGGACAGAGTTCAGCGAGGAAAACATTGAGTTTTGGTTGGCCTGCGAAGAATACAAGACCATAGATTCGGAAACAAAGCGTCTGTCTAAAGCCAGATATATTTATACAGTTTATATTGAATCAGAGGCTCCCAAAGAGGTACGTGGTGGGATGTTTATACCTCTAAAACTGCTTAGACGTTCTGCTGCTGTGTGGAGCTGCAAAAGCTCAAATGACATTTAGCATTTTCTTGACTTATCTGTCACTCAGGACTGAGATAAAATATTTATGTCACCATTATAAAAATAACTGTGGGCAAGGACTAACACGCAGTCATGAGCCTGTGGTGAGGTGACCTTTGTGAAAAAAAAAAATCGTTAGGTGCAGCATCTTGCTGAGGTCATATGCATGCATGTTGCAAAAAACAGGTCGGGTTATTTTTGTGTGAGACGTCTGTGGTTTCTAGACAATTTGTGCTTGATGATGCGACCACCATCAGATATGTTCTTTAAGGCCTACAGCAGTTTAAGCTGTTGAAGAGACTTAGCTGTCTAGTTTGAGGTTTTGAACTGTTGAAGCAAAGCTAAACAGAGCATCTCCCACACACTTTCAGTCTAGAGTGAACACACATTTAGAGGTGGAGTTTTTTTTTTTCTCCTGCATGGCAATTTGTCAAACTAGTGCACTGTGGTTCCTCTTTGCTCTGCCTGTTTGCAGTAGATATACGCTTCTAAATCAATTTGAAGCACAATGTAGAGAATGGAGGATCTAACAAGCACAAGTCGACGTCAAATGTCTAAAAGCGTAAAAACTTATCGATGACTCTATTTATTGTGTAGATGTTGGGTTTTCCCCTGTTTTATTTGGCAAACCTTTCCTAATTATTCATCTATACAAGTATTGGGATTCAAAAAAAAAAATTTCATATGGATTTAATCCTTTATAAGGCACTCGGTGAAATACTTTAAAAATCAAACAAATGGTGTTATTGGAATCTAGAACTTATTACCTTTGTAAAATTCAAAAAACATTCAAAAATGTATGTCAATGTAATAACAAGAAATGCCAACTTGCCCCAATTTAGTAAGAAAAACATCTGAGAGTAAAAGAAACACTTTTTTTTTTGGTACAACATAACCTTAGAGGCATTAATGCTGATACTGGCACTTCCTTTTTTTAGTTTATAAACTTTAGACCTCACAGAGGGATGGGTGGGACTCCATTTGTAAGGGGTATGCAAGTGATCAAAAACAGTAACTTTCCCTACAAAGGATTAACACCTCTGTAGATCCACTCATTGTTAGCCCTGTGTTAGATCAACCAGAACATTGTAGCCTGAAGTTTGGAAAGTGGATAAATAACACGTGAGTTTTTAGAAACATTTTTGACAAACATTGATAATAATCTGGCCTTTGTGTAACAGTGGGAGTAAGAAAGTCATTGTGGGAGTGAGGAAACCCACAGTCCTATTTGCAGTTTTCACCAAGCTATGTAGGGCACACACAAACTGCTGCTTCTGAGACTAAGATTGATCTTTCTGGCCTTGGAGTACAACTCTGTGTAGCTTAAAACTTACACTGCACAGTACAGTGAAACCAAGCATCCCCACCTATTAGGCATGGTAGTGGCAGGAGCGTTTTTGCTATCAGCAGTTATTTCAGGAAGTTGGTAAGAGTTAATCAAACCATTGTCATTAGGTCACTCCATAAATCTTCCCATCATATCAAGTCTTAGCTTTTTGATTCTAGTGAGAATTAAAGCAAATTTTGAAAGCCTTAATTCAACTCCTAGAGAGTTAGATTCAACACTTTAAATGTGTCTGTAATGGTCCACGCTGGATTTAGCCAAGACGACACTTTTGAAATTGTTGTTTTGGTGTAAATATTACACCAACATTGCAGCAAAGCTCTTTATAGTTGTGATTAACACAAAACGTATATAACCATAGTGTGTACAGTTTGCACTACAAACTTTCATCACCACCCCCTCTGACCATCGCCAATAGGCAATGTGCAGGAAATGTCCTGCCTAAGGAACACCTGAAAAAGGATTATAACCGGCGACCCTCCAGTTGCAGGGGGACATACATGTAAATCCTACACCACAACTCCAATGTCAACTATTGATGTCGTTATGTTGAGAAAATCAGTTAGGCATTGGTTTGAAAATTATCACTTTACAGAGTGCTTAAATTTAGCTCTGCTGATTAACACTAGCCTCGTGAGACCATCCTGATCTCGCGAGCTTTCAAGATTTCACTCGCAGATCAGTCTGGAGACTCTCCGTAAAAAAAAATTTGGAGCCGTTCACCAAACGAACGTCCAATGAGCGTTGGCTTTGAGGCAGGTTGAGGTGTGACGCAACGAGAAGCGCGACAGTTCGGTCTAAAGAACATGGCGGCTTCAGCCGATTAAACTAATGTTAGCGTGGCTATCGAGCAAGTTTTATCGGAATTACAGAGTATTTCTTCACTGAAAGAAGAGCAAAACACTGCTCTGGAGGCTTTTCTCAGAGGAAAAGATGTTTTTGCTCTTCTCCGGACTGGTTTCGGCAAGAGTTTGATCTATCAATTGGGTCCTCTTCGTCGTCGCTTTGTTAGTACGTCATATGCTTCGTTGATCTGATTGGTTTATTTGGCCCGTCTAATACCAACATAAGCCAATCAGCTAACCAGTATTTTCGCCCCTTCCCAAAATTACTTCTACGGAAGGTTTCAAGATGGATATGCGGAGCAAATCCATCTGGCGGAGTCAGGTTAGATCAGTGGTTCCCAAAGTGTGGGGCGCGCCCCCTGGGGGGGGCGCAATGCCATTGCAGGGGGGGCGCGGGAAGCGGTATGGATGAATGAAGAAAAAAAAAAAAAAAAAAAGCAGCGCTTGCTTGACTGAGCATAATGGATAGTTGTGACACTGCAACCCAGATTTGAAAAGATCTACAGCAAAAAGCAGGCTCACTACAGCCACCGAAAAGATGGGAGGATTAAAGTACAAAGAAAAAACTCTCAGGGAGCTGTTAAATGTTTTCACTCCATTTTGCACAGAGGCTTTTTTAATGTATAGATTATAGCAAAGTTAAATATTGTTACAAATAAAAAAAGAAATATGTTTAAAATAACACAGACAACAAAGAATCCTCTTCTAATCTACATTATAGAACTGTGAAAAAAATACAGTTACACAAATGTGTTCCACTGTAAAGATGGTGTAGTTTGTTTTGAAAACAAAATATGGGTATAGATTTATTATATCTGGTTGAACGATGTGTGTGCCCAGTTTTTTTTTTTTTTTTTTTTTTTTTTTTGTGTGTGTGTGTGTGGGGGGGGGGGGGGTTGTCGGGGGGCGTGGAAATTTTATTGTAATCCAAAGGGGGGCCCAGAAGAAAATCTTTGGGAACCACTGGGTTAGATTAACACCAACTCTTCAGACAAACTTACTCTTGCATAGTTGTGTAAATATTGTATTGACATTATTTTTTTTTATATATACGTATACTTCACCAACAGTTGATATTTAACACATCTGATTTTGGTGTGTATGAATAGAGACATGTAAAAGTTGCAGTACACCAGGCTGGAGGATTTAAATTTGACATCGCTTTAAAGAAACAAACTCCCGAATTATTTCCCCAAATTTCCGGGAAGACAGAAAAAGGTTTCATAGAGGCTTTTTTTTTCCAATCTGAGTTTTAAAAATTGATCTAAAAAGATTGAGCTAAAAAGCTCAGTCTTATGATGTGGAAAGTTGATGATGAGTCCAAGTTGGTGAATACAAGTGACTTATCTTTCAGGCCTCTGTTGGTATACTGTAGGTTTCAGATCCATTCTCTTCAATTCAGTTTATTTATAGAGCATCAATTCAAAACACGTCATCTCAAGGCACTTTACAATTCAACCAGATCATACCTTTAAATTGAATTAAACTTTTCTATCTAAGGAAAACCAGTTGATTCCATTGAGTCCCGCTTCCATTTTACAAGTATGCTCTACTTTATGTTGGCCAACCAAATAAAATGATTTCAAAATTAAGGTTGTATAGGGGTTTGAGTACATTTATAAGCCACTTATGATCTTGAACCAAAAAGGCTAAAATCAAGCATACCACTCAGGGAGCTGTTAAATGTTTTCACTCCATTTTGCACAGAGGCTTTTTTAATGTATAGATTATAGCAAAGTTAAATATTGTTACAAATAAAAAAAGAAATATGTTTAAAATAACACAGACAACAAAGAATCCTCTTCTAATCTACATTATAGAACTGTGAAAAAAATACAGTTACACAAATGTGTTCCACTGTAAAGATGGTGTAGTTTGTTTTGAAAACAAAATATGGGTATAGATTTATTATATCTGGTTGAACGGTGTGTGTGCCCAGTTTTTTTTTTTTTTTTTTTTTTTTTTGTGTGTGTGTGGGGGGGGGGGGGGGGTTGTCGGGGGGCGTGGAAATTTTATTGTAATCCAAAGGGGGGCCCAGAAGAAAATCTTTGGGAACCACTGGGTTAGATTAACACCAACTCTTCAGACAAACTTACTCTTGCATAGTTGTGTAAATATTGTATTGACATTATTTTTTTTTATATATACGTATACTTCACCAACAGTTGATATTTAACACATCTGATTTTGCTGTGTATGAATAGAGACATGTAAAAGTTGCAGTACACCAGGCTGGAGGATTTAAATTTGACATCGCTTTAAAGAAACAAACTCCCGAATTATTTCCCCAAATTTCCGGGAAGACAGAAAAAGGTTTCATAGAGGCTTTTTTTTTCCAATCTGAGTTTTAAAAATTGATCTAAAAAGATTGAGCTAAAAAGCTCAGTCTTATGATGTGGAAAGTTGATGATGAGTCCAAGTTGGTGAATACAAGTGACTTATCTTTCAGGCCTCTGTTGGTATACTGTAGGTTTCAGATCCATTCTCTTCAATTCAGTTTATTTATAGAGCATCAATTCAAAACACGTCATCTCAAGGCACTTTACAATTCAACCAGATCATACCTTTAAATTGAATTAAACTTTTCTATCTAAGGAAAACCAGTTGATTCCATTGAGTCCCGCTTCCATTTTACAAGTATGCTCTACTTTATGTTGGCCAACCAAATAAAATGATTTCAAAATTAAGGTTGTATAGGGGTTTGAGTACATTTATAAGCCACTTATGATCTTGAACCAAAAAGGCTAAAATCAAGCATACCACTCATATTTATTCACGCATATTTGAGATTTTATTATTAATTGCACCATTGATAACCCATGTCTGTACTGTTTTATTCTACTTTGCCTCAACTTAGGTCAACATTGACTACAACACAAAGATGGCCATCAAGAAAAACATGGAACACCCAGCAAGAAGCTGTTTTGATGCAGCCCAGATGAAAGTCTACAGTCTGATGAAAAAGGACTCCTACCCAAGGTTCCTGCACTCTGACATTTATCTGCGTATAACCAGGAGGAAGGGCCCCGGGTCCACCATGTTTCGCAGAAGGTCACGCTCCTGTGTATTCAACGACCGGGGAGAAACCACAACTGAGCCCTCTGCTTGGTAATCATGAAATTGCACAGCCGTGTGGATTTATTATCACCCGGGAGATCATATTTGATTTGCAACACAACTGTTGAAATATGATGTGATGTCTAAATTACGGCCCACTGATATGTAGCGTGCAATATTTTGATGTAACCACAGGTTCCACAATCAATTACTGCTCAGAAACGGCACCGCAGTAAATTGACATTGATATTAATTTAAATGTACTGTTTGGGAAATATTATTAGTTTCATAATATTTTTATCCTCATTTCAGCTTGTTAAATTTTATTATGTAGTTCAGTTTACCCAAAAAAAATGCTAACAGGGAAAGACAAGAACAAAATCTCATAGTTAAAATTAGCTCCTATTTTCTCCTCGCTCTTTATGTTGTTTTATTTGGCTTGTAAGTTGGAAAATGGATGTGGAATAGCCGTTACCTCTCAGATTTACTGTGTTGGTGTTGACGTTTGTAAAACCCCTAAGTTTTGTTAGGTGTTTTGGTGAACAAGCAGGCTAACAGCCTCACAGGCTAATAACAGTATTCCTTTGGAGTGCACATGTATGCATCCAAACACTGTAATAACACCTCTCTGGGCAGAGGTCTTACAGGGTTATCAATAGTATTAGTCTATTAGCTTTATCAAACATGGCAACCATCTTGGATTTTAGTGCAGAGTGTGTGAGAAATTTTGAACCTTTAAAGTTGGAACTCGAACTTTAGTAGAACATTATTTACTATTGGAAGTTAACAAAAACCCATAAATCTTATCTATTGTTAGAATGGGGTGAATTTATTTCCATTCATGTTGGAAGCAAATTACTTTAAGTCTATTAGCAAAAACTTTAAAGAAAGTAAATCCATTAATAAAACTTTTTAAATAAGTCTTAATCAACAAATGTTTTAAGGGAAATTTTTGCTGTTTTCTCAGGAGGTTTTTCTATTTTCTTAAATTTCTTTACAGATTTTAAATGTTGAGTTTTTTGGGGGGGTTTTTCAATGTTTTTGAAGTGGGGGGCCAAAAGGCGTTTCTATTTCTCTGCACAGATGTTAGCAACAATATTTATATTGAAGTAAAGTTTGATAAAGAGAAATTTGAGAAAATTTAATTTAGAAATAAATAATTGGTCAAAAAATATGAAACAATGCAATTTGAAAGTGTAAAAAAAAATGTATTTGAATTTCATCTAAAAAAAAAAACAACAAAATGAATCTTTTAAACCATTTTTTGATTACGAACTTGTTCAGGTTTCATTTCATGTTCTTTGCTTGCAACAATAGTGTAACCAAATTTACTCCATATATTAGTGTGCTAACTGAAAAATATAATAGCAAATAGTGATAATGGGCTTTTTGGAGACATGTCATACATTTGGCTTGGCCGCACAAAGTAAACGCTTGCTACCAATGCTGGTTTCCTAGCAACTTGAAGGCAGCGTGAACAGCTTTAATCAGCTGCTTTCCTGGAGTTTTTTTTTTTTTTTCCTTAGCCTAGGTTAATTCATGCAGACATGAGTACGTTATCATTCCAGTTGTTTCACGCTTGCCTTAAATGAAACGGAATAATTCCTGGAAATTTGGGTCTGTGTTTCATGACTTTTCACAATTATACCAGCAGGCTGACTACATTTCTGTGAGGCTATTTAGCAGTAGTGACATTTTTTCTCTGCTCCATCAGTTGATTATTCTGAGTCTAGAAAGTGATAACTCTGGTGGATGCTTTTGAATCACAGCAGCCTTTAGTGAGGATATTATTTATTCTTTAAACCTTTAAAAACCTGAAGAAAAGTGGAAATATTTGAGAGAGAGCAAAAAGGAGCCTCATAGTGACAAGACTGCTGAAGAACATTTAATGCTTCGGGAACTGTGGTTTATCACTGATTCATACCGTTGATATGCTAAAGTTAAATTTACCACATTTCATTAAAACTGAATGATGATTTACATCTGTTGCACTGTTTACCCCCACCTGAATAACAAGCAGTTGAAAGCCTTTGGTCGTATTGACTGCAAAGCGCAGAACAGCTTTTTAACAAACAAAAGAGGAGCTCTTGCATGTCTGCTTTTAATGATCAGATTCCCCTTTTCACACACAGTGAAAAAGCCATGCATAATGTATCTTCTCTGACTACTAATATTACATTATATTGATTACTACTGCTGTTTTTTCACTTGCCACCTATTATAATTTATGTATTATTTGATCACATTTGATACGTACTGCTGTAAAATGTACATACTATATGTGGACAACTTCAAATAAAAAATTTCCAATAAAATCTGTTTTTAATGAGGCCATAAATGACATTAATTGCTTTGAATGAGTGCATAAACAGGACAAATAGAGCCATAATGTGCACATATTATGCCAGTGGGAAACACCCGACAGCATGTAGCTCCCTATTCTGAATCATTGAAAAATTAATGGCCCATATCCAGCCCTAACCATTCTAGTGTGGAATTATTTATGCTACAATATATGTATGCGCGAGCTATACTTCTTGCAAATACAAGTAAGTGTTAATTCAGACCTGTTTCTGCAGAACATCCGAGTATTTGTAAAGTGTGTCTGTACAGAAAGCATCACCATTTGGCTCTGTTGTACAAATGTCTGGGTTTAAAGTAGCCTGTCGTGTTAGCATCAATCATACTGTTTATGTGGAATGTATCAAAAAATCATATGACAGCAGCACACATATATTTGGCACTGAAGGTGTAGATAGTGAAGAGGATAAGGTTTGTGCCTGCCAACCAAAGCCAAGCTAAAAAAACAAGTCTTCTCCGGACACCTTCACATAATTGATATACTGTAACAATCAAGCCACTGACTGGGGACCCCAAAATTCAGTCAAACACAGGGAGTGCTTTAAATATTTATTACAAAAGTTTGCCAATGTAAAGAGGGGTAACAGGATTCTTCACAGAAAACTGATGAGGAAAGACAATGGTTACTGGTTGGGATACATTTATTTAGTAATGCAGAACACAAAAAACAAAGCCACTGAGCTTTTCAAGGTGTCAAAATGTTATGTCACTGTTTGCAGCTATGAGAACAGTAGTGCTGCTTTAACTGAAAGCAGGGAGAAAGTTCTTTCTGCAGGTGAGAGGTCATTATTCTAAAATCCATATTTGTGTGACCATTTTTTTCTTTAATCTTTTTGTTGCTGTAAACAGCATAATTATCCCATTGTGGAACAATAAAGGGATTTTCTATTTAATTCTAATACATAGTGGTTTTTGTCCAGATTTCATGGAACAGATGTCCACAAAGGGCTAGAGAGGGCAGAAAAAAAAAGAAATCAAAGAACATGAGCTGGATTAAAACACTGATCAGGCTGATAAGGAACGCTGTATATTTATTCATGAAAAGACTTTCAATAATCTGGCAGTGACTGTTATGGAAAAGGTAGAGATTATAAAGACAGAGGTTCAGGGACAGCAGGTTGGCTTGACTGTGGAACATTGGCAAAGTGAACAGGTGAGAGAAATGATCCAGATTGTCGAAGAGGAAAAATAAGAGGCTTGATACTTGAAACTTGAAACTATCTCCTGGTCCTAACTCATATCCCTTCACCTTTCATAAGGTCAACAGTAAAAAATCTATCCAGGATAGCAAATAAGCTTTGGACCGAAGTTAAAGCTACAGTGTGTAATTTTCAGCTTCTCCCCCCCAACAGTACGGCGAGCGTTACGGGACAAAATGTCTTCCACGACGTCCGCATCACCTACCTTCTCAAGTGATGAGGTTTGTTTACATAGATAATTTTACAGATAGTATTTCATTAGTCTGTGTGTTCAGTACCGTCTCAGTTCATCTCTCTCAACTTGCCGTAGTTACTTTCGAGCGTAATGGGCGATCTCTCAATCGCTAGTTTGTTGGCTCTGCACTGCCGTAGCGCCAAGATGTCTGCCTCCATGGCTGTGAGACCCGCTCCTATGTAATTATAAATAACGAATTCTAAGGCAACGCAAATATTAAGGTTAAGAGGCTGAGCTCGTAGATGATGATAAATAACATAGTTATGTATAATATATTACATTTCTGACTGTATATCCCTGTAATTATTACACACTGTAGCTTTAAATCTTCAGAACTTTTTGCCTTATGGACATCATTACATGGCGGACACACACATGAATGACGCCAATATAATAGGTTTAGATCCTTTTGGAAAAGAATCACAAAAAAACATATTTCACAATTGGGAGGAGCCTAAGTTTTACAATATACAAAAAAAAAAAAAATCATGTAAAATAGACGAAATTAGTCGCACAGATAATTGTGGGCAACCATATACGTAACTCCAGGCAGCAACTAGGGACATCAGCAGGTCCCTATCCTAAGTGTATTGGTGCTTCCAAGCACCAATACACTTAGGATAGCTCTTTACTGCCAGCACTATTCAGATAGCACTTATTATGGCAACGTTGAATGGATTTTTGCTGTGTTTTTGAGGTATTCTGTATTCCAGAGCATTCAAACAGTCAAACTAGAACCATAACAATACCAGTAAAGTGATTCCACATGCTGACACCTGTGACTAGGTGGAGAAGGGCCAAGATCGCTCAACCAACTTTAAATAAAAACTTTACTCAGATTAGAGGCTCGGCTCAAAGTCAAGTCCTCTTAATTACCGACACAATTTTCTCTTTTTCATGAGAAGCTGAACGCCCCCACATGCTTCATGAACCGTAGATGTTGTATAAGTTCAAGACTTTTTCCTGTTTATGAGTCTGGTATTATTGCTGTTGCTATGGCATTAATGATATTTTTTGTTACACATTTATTCTTTTTAGCTCCACATTTAACTAAAAAAATGGTTTTGTAGCAGAACCACTGAGCTTTTACTGATAAAGAAAAAAAATCCTAACTCTGCCTCTTGTGGCATATACACTATATTGCCAAAAGTATTTGCTCACCCATCCAAATTATTGGAATCAGGTGTTCCAATCACTTCCATGGCCACAGGTGTATAAATTCAAGCACCTAGGCATGCAGACTGTTTTTACAAACATTTGTGAAAGAATGGGTAGCTCTCAGGAGCTCAGTGAATTCCAGCGTGGAACTGTGATAGGATGCCACCTGTGCAACAAATCCAGTCGTGAAATTTCCTCGCTCCTAAATATTCCACAGTCAACTGTCAGCTGTATTATAAGAAAATGGAAGTGTTTGGGAACGACAGCAACTCAGCCACGAAGTGGTAGGCCACGTAAACTGACGGAGCGGGGTCAGCGGATGCTGACGCGCATAGTGCGAAGAGGTCGCCAACTTTCTGCAGAGTCAATCACTACAGACCTCCAAACTTCATGTGGCCTTCAGATTAGCTCAAGAACAGTGCGCAGAGAGCTTCATGGAATGGGTTTCCATGGTCGAGCAGCTGCATCCAAGCCATACATCACCAAGTGCAATGCAAAGCGTCGGATGCGGTGGTGTAAAGCACGCCGCCACTGGACTCTAGAGCAGTGGAGACGCGTTCTCTGGAGTGACGAATCGCGCTTCTCCATCTGGCAATCTGATGGACGGGTCTGGGTTTGGCGGTTGCCAGGAGAACGGTACTTGTCTGACTGCATTGTGCCAAGTGTAAAGTTTGGTGGAGGGGGGATTATGGTGTGGGGTTGTTTTTCAGGAGCTGGGCTTGGCCCCTTAGTTCCAGTGAAAGGAACTCTGAATGCTTCAGCATACCAAGACATTTTGGACAATTCCATGC